CTCATAAAATTTTTCCTGTCTCTTAATACTGTGCTTAGCTTTTGGTATGCATCTTTGGCTCTCCAAACGTGTCTTCGGATTTCAGTGTCGCACTTTCGGGCCTCTGTTAAAACATATCCCAGATATTTTATTTTAGTACTTGTTTGATTTTGGCATCTCCAATTTGTAATTTGCATTTTGGACTGTTCCCTTTTGCTAACAACCATGCATTTTGTCTTCTTGTAGTTTATGTTTAATTCTTTCTTCTTGCTTTCCTTCGTTACCTTCTGTAGTAACTTTTGTAGATTTTTTTCCCCCGTGTCTGCTATCAACACTATATCATCTGCATATCTTATGTTGTTAAGATTGTGACCACCAATAATAAATCCTGGTAGGACTTCTAATTCTCTCAGAATCGCTTAGCTGTATAGGATGAATAAGTCCAGTGAGAAAACACAACCTTGTCTTACAACCCTTTTCTATTTTTGTATATCTACTGAACTCATTTTGTATCCATATACAGGCAATCTGCTGCCAATATAGATTCTTAATTATTCTTAAGTCCTTCTTAAATATGTCAAGTTTACTAAGCAGTTCCAACAGATTTTTATAATATAATCCCTTTTCCCAAGGAGGTGCAGCCATACAATTAGGGTCCCGATGTTTCATAGATATCTTCACCCTGGGATGGCTGTGGGGTCAAATTGGTTACATACAGTTTTAAACTGGCCAAGGAGTTGGTGCCAGTTGCTGGTAAGTGTTGTGTTTCTTACTGACAAGAAAAGTTGGGGGGTTGCTTGATTCAGTAAGCTGTGGTATTTTCTTTGACGAATAGCCTAAAGTAAAGAAAGTCGTGCTTTTGTCAGACGAAGGAGAAGGCCTGATCTTGGTTTTAATAATAGTAAATAAAGATAGAATATTTACAAAAGTTTGACATAGCTTAACACCTCTGGAAGGGGTAATAACCTGGAACTAAAATATGTATTCACAAACTTTTATCAGAGAATTGAACATCGATTTAATTTCAGGCAGGTGTGAATTGTATGTATGTTGATCAGCCAATCTTCGATGTGTCTCACCTCTCGATTCTTCTGGCTATATATACCTCTGTTCGCCAAAATGCTGTATATATGAGGACCCATATACCCACAGGTTTTCTCACAAGAGGGGTCAAAAAATGTCATTTCCTCTGGTTTGTTTTTAACTTATCCAGACTTTAAATATCGCCAACCTTCAAGGCCATCTTCATAAAAAATAACAACCTTACATATTTGTCTGATAAGACCCCAGGTGAACATAGACAAAACAATGTTGTCACCTGTCAAAATCTGCAGTACTTTGAAAAACAAATGTTTTTCACGATCAAATTTCATGGGAGAATTTGATTTTACCCAAGGATTCAAACTTGTAATTTTTTCTGTTCCAACTTGCTACCACCAGAAACCAGAACTATAAAAACACTTTGCTAACAAACAAGTTACCTTGGTACAGTGACATACTTTATCAAACACCTTTGAATAATCTATAAAACATAGGTCCCTCTGCATTTATACTGCTCCTTCTGATCTCATTCTGAGCATAAATATTGCATTCCTTGTTCCAGTGTCTTTAATATACCCACACTGTTCTTGTCCTGCAAAACAAATTGATTTGTCATCAGATGACCAATTTATGGGAATTGATATGCCAATGATTTCTAACCAAAATCAGAACCTTCATTGATTGATTGATTGGTTTCTACATTTTATAAACCCTTTGCAGGTTATTTAAAGACAGAAAATATTTTTAGATTGTAAATTTTTTTTTTTTGAGATAATAATGATTTAGTAATGCAAGTCCTATTAATTCTCCTATACTTGGGTGGAGAATAGGTGGATTCATGCCTTTCCCAAACTTATTTGAGCATAGGTGAGTATAATTAACTCAAGTCAAATTAGACCTCGGCTTTCCGATTAACAATTCTGAGCTATTATCCATTATGCCACCCATGCACCCGAGCTTACCTGGTATTCCCAAGCATTTATCCATCTAGGTACTGACTAAGCTTGACATTGCTCAGTGATTGTATGAGAATCAGTGTTTCAATGTGATATGGCCATAAGACTTGACATTTATAAATAATCAAAATCCTAATAATCTACATCAAATTTGTCTAGATGAGTTTTATAGACGAATTGATGTGCTATAAAACCCGAATCAGAATTAGAAACTTGGCACTGGGATTAAAGGTTGTGTTTGAATAAAAAAAAAGATTAAAACCTTTCTTTGTTGATCTGGCCATAATACTGTCAGGTTTTATGATGAAAGCCAATAATTCCCCAATAAATATTGGTAAAATCTACAAGATATACTATATTTATATGTTAAACATACCATGGGAATTTCAGCTGATTATCGATATATCTTTATTAGAAATAGAAATAATGTGTTTTGTGGATGTCAGGTTTCATATTGCAAACAGAGTAAGTACAGTAAAAGTTTTTATTAGGTATACACCAGAGAGATATATTTCATTAAACCAATATCCCATACTAGAAATATCTATGAAAATTCTTAAGTTAATGAGTGAATAAGTTCATGGTAATTTCTATGGTATATATCTATAGAAATTCCCCAATCACAGTGTTAAATATTTGAACTTAATAACTTTAACAAAATATTGCAATGACAATCATAAATATGAATGATGATTGTTATTTTAAGAAGTGGGTACAAATGAAAAGATTTGAAATTGACACTTTTACCATTTCACTGAAATAGCCATTAAACAATGTTTTCTTTCTTTCATTATCTCATTGAAACCAAGTTGCTCTGTGATAAGTCTCTTCTATCTTTTGTTATGATCAAAATTGAATCGTTCATTATTTATGAGGTATCAGCAGGGAATAATAGTCATGCTAACAAGCTGAATTATAAGATACTTTAATAAATAATTATTTCACAATGTGAGCTCCTTGACATTCTATTAGCTTCATCAGTCTTTTAATAACTGTGCTTCTTAACTTTCCTATTGTTTTTTTTTTTTTATTTAACATTAGTTGCAGCAATTTTTATTGCTTCCCAGAGATCTTCTTGGCTTGAATATTGTTCTCCAATCTCATAGACATATTTATTAAGGAAAAAAATTAAAAAAAAAAAAAAAACAGTTTTATTCTCTCATTCTGATTAGAAGATGCCAACTTGGCACACAACACGTCAATAAAAAAAAATTGATTTTGTCTCATTTCTTCATTTTTGTTCAGATACCATTCTACAAACACTCACATATATGTATTTTTAATACTTTATCTAATTAAATAGTGTGTGTGTGTATATATATATATATATATATATATATGTATGTATGTGATATAATGATCTATAATTTTATATATCAACAAACAGTATTTAGAAAAATATGATGAACTGGAAAATTCTTCTGACACGTTTCATTTGACTGCAGTCCAATGAAATCCTAAAAGATGAAATGTGTCACAAGGAACTTTCCAGTTTGTCATAGTTATATATATATATATATATATATATATATATATATATATATATATATATATATAGTAAAGATAATCAATCTATTGGTATATAATCCAAATGGATCCTAGTAATATAAACTATTAAAACTGATCTCCCAAAAACATTTTTATATTTATTATTACAGAGCAGAAATTAATACACAATAAACTCCAAAATCACCTCATATGGAGGAATAAGCTTATATAAAAATGTTTTTGGGAGATCAGTTTTAATAGTTTATATTACTAGGATCCATTTGGATTATATACCAATAGATTGATTATCTTTACTATATATATATATATATATATATATATATATATATACATACATACACACACACACACACACGAGTGTCCTATAATGATTTTAAATGCAAGTGTCTTGGATTATAAAAAGTGACAGAGTACCAACGATACTTAATGCATAACTGATATTCAAGAGTTCAACATTTTATCTAAGATTTGAATATTACATCCCTGAGATGATCAGTACCACAATGAGAACATACATGTATTCAATTTCTTTTGGAGTACATGATATTATGAGGATCCACCATCAGCAAAAGTGATATCAGATACCTGTATGAAATAGCAAAATCTTAAATATGTTGAACTCTTGTATATCAGTTATGTGATAAATATATTTGGTATTCTAAGTCATATTTATAAACCAAGATAATTGGTGTATCCCACCATTATGTGTGTGTGTGTGTGTGTGTGTGTATATATATAAATATATAAGAGAGAGAAACCAGTTGGCTGAAATTTATAAAAAGTTTTTCTTAAAATAATTTTTCAGGAAAATTGTTTTCTCGAGTCTGGTAGCTGTTATAGCTCTTTCTATTATTGATGGAGGTTTCCTTTTTAACCTTTTGTTTATGGTAGTGTGAAATGTCAACATTTTGAATATGACCTTGTTTTCTCTTTCAGTTGCATCTGTAACCATTTTTGTTGCTGCCTTTGGCAGTCTTCAAGTGATGTAGTTTCTGTTATTTGGTACAGTTCTTTGTGATTCTGTAGTGCCAGTCGACAATGTTCAAAGAAGGATTATCTTTGTCAAGACGCACAGGCTTTACTCTATCAAAACCTTTTTTTAACCATTGGTTTTAGAAAGATGACAGTTTAGATATTCCTGAATAGGTTTGGCGCCATGCATGACATCCATACGAAAGTCTCAATCTGACGAGGCTATTTAAGGATATTTCGACTTTTCAGGTTGATGTTTTGGTTGCAGTGTTGGATGAAGCTATCTTTGGCACAGCCCATTCTATGCTGAATTTCCTTTTCTCCTTGAACTGTGGAATAAGAACAATCTAACCACATGAATTAAATAAAGGGGTCAGTTTTAAATTCTCTGAAGGTTTTCCCCAGATTGACAGAAACCAGAAGAAGTCTGAAGGAGACAACAACTAAAATGTTGTGATAATAACAACAAAGATGGGGATATTAGCCCGAATGAAAATAACATAAATACAGAGACTTATTTGCTGATGTCTGCAATTAACTTACCTCTAACCTTAACGAATCATTGGCTGCTTTCAGTGTGTCAAAGTTTTCTTTCAAGCGTTTGTAATCTTTCATTTTTTCCTTCAGCTGAGAGTGTAATTTCTCCAGGTCTTCCTTATAACTCTGCAAATATTTTATGTAAGTATGTGAGTTTTGGCATGTAAACAAATATATGGGTCATTTAGTGACAAGCATCATTTTTTAAATGAATTCTCCAGGTTATTGTCTTTTAACTTGACTGAAAACCAAGATCAATATAATTATGGGTTTTGTAGAGGGTACAAAGAAGTCCCTCAAACAAATAATAAAAAAAAAATACACTACAAATAAAGTAAAATAAACTTTTGTTTATTTTTGTAAAGAATTATTTTTTTTCTTGTACAAAAATGAAATTGTCCGTAAAGCTGCGGAAGAAAAAGAGAAAGAAAGGAACTGGGAATGTGAGAGGGAAAGGTAGGACTATGTGTAGCGAGCGAGATGAGAGAAAGAGAGGGTGAAAGAATGTTCACTGATACGTGATATTGCCTGTTGTGTGAACTGCTGAATCCTCTCGGTGTGTGTGTGCTCGAAACTGTCCGTGTCGCTTTGATGTCAGCTTGTCGCTGTTCTCTCTCCCTTCTGATGAGAGTTTCTACCTTCCTTATATAAGAATGATGAGGCTCCAGGGAGATTAAGAAATGGGTTTCTTATGTCGAGTCCTGATTGGTCAATAAATCCTATTTTTGACCACGTGGTGTGCTTTTCATTACGTCCGAACTTTTGGGTGCGCCGTCCTTGTTTTTGACCCCACAGGGCATGGTAAGGAATGAATTCCCGCGCAATTGTATTTTTTGATACACGTGGTATGAATTAATTTTTATAGTGTGTATGTGTGTGTGGAAAATAAAATAAGAAACAGCACAGTTTTATAAAGTTGCTTTTTAGTGTTTTTAATTGTTTCTCCTGGAGGAAGGTAATAATGCCACCAAGACATTAGGTTACTGAGAGTGAAAGAAAATAAAGTAAGTATGAGTGAAGAGAAAGGACTAAAAAAAACAAAATTCAGAAAGACTGAAGTTGAGGATTGACGTTGCATTGAAATTTTTAAAGATCCTAATTGACAAGAGAGCAGGAAGCAGGAACAGAATTTCACGGGAGAGAAATGCAACAGAAGAAACTATTAGAATAGAACTTACGGATACATCTAACTAATTCAACAGTGAAATGATGAGACCTAACTGCCAATCTAGCAATGGACTTAAATCCATGAGGTCAAGGTACCAAATAGGAAAGCTCATTAGAATAATTGCGATGAAAATATTTATAGAAAAGATACAGAGAAGCTATGTTACAGCAGTGGGGAAGTGACTGAAGCCGAGATGACAGGTCAGGACTGATAACTTTCAGTGATTATGAAGTCATTATTTATAACATACAATAAAAATAATTTATACTACCTTTTTGACAGTACTAACATCTCAACTATCAATCAATAAAAAAATAGACAAGAGTAGAAAAAGCAAAATTGATAAATATAAGTTTAGATAAGCAAAAACAGAAAGTAAAAATTGTGGGAAAATATAGCAGAAAGAATAATATAAATTGGCATTTAAGCCTAAATTACATTTTTTGTCTGTTATCATTTCACCCCAGGCAAAGCAATAAAGACACTAAGATGCAAGGGGTTACTGAGTGTGAAAAAAAATGAAAAAACATTAAAGAGAAAGAACAATAAAAGAATAGAATTCAGAAAGACAAGATGGCAATTGATGTTGCATTTAAATTTTTGAAGATCATAGTTGACAAGAATGCAAGACGCTGGAAGAGAGTTTCACAGGTGAGAAATGCAAGAGAAGAAACTATTAAAATTGAACTTATGGATACATCTAGCTAATTCAACAGTGAAATAATGAGACCTAACTGCCAACCTAGCAATGCACTTAAATTCATGAGGTCAAGGTACCAATAAGGAATGTTTATCAGAATAACTGCCATAAGGTTTCTGTAACTGAAGTGTTTTATGGGATGGGATGTTTCATCCCAACGTCCAACCTATAAGGGAAGGTTAGTTTTCTGTTGAGGTTTTGCTCCCCTTAGACCACTTCATGTTTCCATGCTAATAATATCTGTTTCTTAATAACGTATGTGGAAGAGAAGATGACTTAACTCATGTCGTAAAGTGAGCACGTATATGCCTGGCGTGCAAAACGAGTGAATGAGGGGAAAAAGAAATATGGTCACACCCCGACATCTTAAGACAGACATGGTATTGGAGCTAGGAGAATTGGCGAGAGTGGTTGGGTGTATGCAAAACTTTTGAGAGATCAGCTTGGCATAAAAAAACACCACACGAGAGAGATTCAGTCAGTATGTTTGTGAACATGGTACTGCTTTCACAGAGATTTTGTCAGTTGGAAAAGCAATTATTTGACTCAGTTTCAAACACTTTGATTAGACTTTGGAAAGCATCTATGACTATTCCAATGTATCTTTAGATTTTGGTATCATCTTTTGCATCCATTGTTAAAAGATATTTAAATTTTTGTACCTACTTCTCCAATTGTTGTTCACCTCTTGGGTTGTTACATTTGGCGGCAAGCGTACCTTCTGTTTCATAATTGATGCTTAGTCCTTTCTTCTCACTTTCTTTTACTAACATCTTTAAGAGTTCTTGTAGTTTCCTTTCTGTGTCTGCTATCAACACTATGCCATCTGCATATGTAAGGGTTGTGGCCACCAATAATGAATGCTGCGAAGACTTCTACTTCTCTCAGGGTTGCCTCAGTGTAAAGTTTGAATAAGTCTTATGCTTCTTTCTATTTTTGCATATTTACTGAATTCATTTTCTATCAGTATGCAGATGGTTTGCTCTAGTATAAATTCTGTATGATTCTAATATTGTTCAAAGATAAATCAAGCTTACCTAACAGTTCAAACAGTTCTTGGAGTTATACTGGTTTGCCTTGGTTTGTTTTAAGGCATTTCAACCTCAATGGATTATTTAATGCCAACAAGATTTTTATTGCTTGTAATATTTTTTTCAAAAATGTATTGCTGCTAATATTTTTTTTAAAAATAATCTATTGCTGGTAATATCTTTTTCTTCAAAAATCTATTGCTGGTAAAAATCTTTTCTTCAAAATTTCGTTGCTGGTAATATTTTTTTTTTTTACAAAAATGTATTGCTGGTATTCAAGCCTATTTTTACACTTTCATAGTGTTTTGAGCCTAGTTTGGGTTAATTATTTGCCCATAACTGGGACCCTAACAAGTGCTACCACCCAGGGTCATGGTGGACCTGGGAACCCCAGCAATTAAGAAGTGGTTCCATGCTCCTCAAAACCTCCTGATCAGAGGCTTTGCTGCCGGATGTAGTTTATCATCTTACCCAGGACACTGAGTTGTACTTTATTAACCACTTTTGCATAATCTATAAAACATAGGTATACATTCTTCTGTATTTGTATTTTTCTTTTGTATATGCCATTCAAAAGTACGAAAATCTAAAATTTGTTTCATATGACATTACCATTTTAAAGGAGTCAATGTGACATAAAACTATATTTAGAATTAAAAAAAAAGATGTAATTAAAGAATAAGAAACTCTAAATTAAGATAAAGAAACCAAACCATAATTTCCATAGTCTGTGTACCAGGGAAGCATCTCCAAGATGATAAGCAAAATAGCTGGAATTTTATTTTTTTTGCCAGAATCTAATTTATACCTGTATGTTGACCATTCATGCATGCATTGAATGTTACTGTCACATCTGGGCTCGTGATTCTGCTATGCATTTAGAGATCCTTGATAAAATCCAAAGAAGCATCTGCAATGTTATCGGTCATGACTTGGCATCTCAGTTTCAGTCACTGCCCACCAACCTAACATAGCTTCCCTGTACATTTTCTATAAATATTTTCATGGTAATTGTTTTGATGAGCATTCCTCTTTGGTATGTTGACTTTACAAATTACTACACAGTACTAGATTGGCAGTTAGGTCTCACCATTTTAATGTTGAAATTGCTAGATGGAACCATAAATTCCATGATAACAGTTTCTTTTCTTACCCTTCTTACTTACAATATTCTGTTTCTTCTTCTTGCTTTCCAGCTAACTTTGATCTTCAAAAATTTAAATGAAATGGCAATCGTTAGTCTGTTTTCTTGATTCCTCTTCTTTTATAGTTCTCTTTCCTTAAGAATGTGAAAGAATGTAGAAAAACCACATTCTTTCACATTCAGTAGTCCTTTGTGCCTTAGTGACTTTATTGCCTTGCTTCGGGTGAAATGATTTAAAAAAAAAGAAAAGAAGAAAAGAAAAGAAAGTGATGAATGAGTAACAATGAAAGGAACTGTCCAGAATGGGTTGACCGACAGGAATGGGATATCTAATGACGGGTTTGGGGTGGGGGAAGGGGGGGCGTGCATAATTTGATTCACAGGATTCGTTAATATTTATCAAAAAAGATACTGAAAAAATTAAACAGAAAGAGAAAAACAATCGTATAGAGTGAGGAAAAAAAACGGTCAAGTGCCTACATTGCATTTGTTAAAACAGGTATCAACTTTGAAATGAGGCATAAAATTGGGAAGATCAGCTTTTCTAAAATATCAAAAACTGAAGATCTTTGAGAAGTCTTAAATCAAAGACAGAGTTTTTATGGATTTTTGGGCGGGGGATTTATGGTCGTCAAGGAGATATAATTTCGCACTTAAAAATGGATAAAGAAAAAACAAATGAAATTAAATAGTTAAGAATCGGACAGAAAAAAAAAAAGAAGAAAATTCTTCTCTACATGTTCCTACACGCTGGAAGCAATGAAATAACAAAAAAGTCTTTTTGAAGAAAAAAAAAAAATTATCAGATTTTATCAGAAGCAGTGCCAGACTAAACTACACTTTGCAGATGACAGAAACATGCTATTTTATCTGAATGTTAGAAACAATTTTGCCAATCTTGCACCTTTGTGCCTGCAAAAAAACAGAATGTCAAAAGGATAATTTTCCCTTGACATTGCTAGTATTTTAACTACCTTCACTCCTTGAAAATGTTTATGGTTTTAAAAAGGAATTATTAGAACAGTAATCAAACCTAAACATATGATAATGAATTTACACATTGTTTTTCCTCTTGAGAATCTACAACAAAAATATTAAACACAATTTATTTATTAGATTGTTTATATACAAGAATAATTTACAACATTCTAAAAACTAATATAATGCAATATTCATCATTTACCAATTTATAAAGAAATAAATATGAAAAATATGAAATTGCTGGTAATAAGTTTTTTCACAAAAATGTATTGTAGGTAATATTTTCCAAAAATGTATTTTTGGTAATAATTTTTTTTTTTTACAATAATGTATTGATGATAATATTTTTCTCTTTCAAAAATGTACCGTTGGTAATAATTTTTCCAAAAAAGTATTGCTGATATTAAAACCTATTTTTATACTTTCATTGTTTTGAGGGGGTTAACTATTTGTCCATAACTGGGACCCTGACAGGTGCTACCACCCGAGGCCAGGGTGTACCTGGGACCACCAACAATTAAAAGGTGGTTCCATGTTCCTCAAAACCTCCTGATCAAAGGCTTTGTAATTGGATGTAGTTTATCATCTTATCCAGGATGCGGATAGTGTTATTGTCATACCTAGGACTTGGATGTAGTTTATCGTCATACCCAGGAAATGGTCAGGTTTTCATTAAATGGTATAATGATATCTCATTATACAGAGAATAATCAAGGAATCCTGGCTTGCTATACTTTCTTTATCTCAACTTATTCAAAGGAATTCTTACCTTCTCAATAACATCCAACTTTCTTTTCACTTCCAAATCCACAATTGTCTGGAAATTCTTCTGGGCAACTGAAAGAATTTGTTCTCTTTTTTTTACATCTTTTTGTCTTTGATTCAACCATTTATTTTCATCCTGAAAAAAAAAAAAAAAAATTAACAAGTAAACAATAAAAATAAAGCTAAACGCGAGTCAAGAGGATGTTTTTCTCTTGACATTGTTCCAATCATATTGCCTTGGGAATTTTCGGTGAATGCTGGACAATCTACGAATGGATGAGAAAAAACTGGAGGCAACAGAATTGTAGTTGTTCAGAAGGATGTTGGGAATGGATGGGGTAAGTAAGCAATGATGAAGTCTTAAAGAAAATGGTAACAGAAAGAATCAGATATTGGGAGCTGAAATTTCTTGGACACATAATGAGGAAGGAAGAATTGTAAAATGTAACCCTCCGAGGGCATATTAAAGGCAAAAGAGATAGGGGAAAGCAACAATTCCCCTTCTTGACAAGCTGAATAGAGGTGGGAGCCTTAGTAAAATTAAGAAAACTGCTAAGGTGGGAGCTACAAGGGATAGGAAGTTCTGAAGAGCTATGATTGCCCATCTCCTGAAGGGATACAGCAGATACAAGAGGTTACTGACAGTGAAGGAGAATGAGAAGATTTTCGTAAGGAAAAAGGAAAACAGAAGATGATGATTGATGTTGCATTTAAACTTTTGAAGATTGTAGGTGACAGGGAAGCCAGAAATCAGAAGAGAGATCCACAGGTGAGAAGTGTGAGAAAAGAAACTATTAGAATAGAACTTATGGTTACATTTAGCTAATTCAACAATAAAATGAGGAGTCCTAGTGTCCAATCCAGTAGTATACTTAAAGGAGGAGAGCTCATCAGAAGAATTGGCATGAAAATATTTATAGAAAAGACAGAGGGAAGCCATGTCACAGTGGTGGGATAGTGACTGAAGTAGAGACACCAGATCCTTCTTTGGGCTTTTGTTGAGAATCTTGAGGTATACAGCAGCAGGCTAGATATGGCAGCAACATTTAATGCATAGATAAATGGTAGATTTATAAATGTACATGGATTCTGATGTGAATAATTGTCTGCTATAAACAAACGAAGTGAGTGTGACAGGGTTCAAGTTCAATCTGTGCCAAGCAGCTTCACGCTGCATACATTCACTCTGTTATCATAAAAATAGTCCTGATAATTTTTGATCAAACTTTGTATGAACATATTCTGTATCCCCAGATCATTAACCAAAATATTTCTTACATGAGTAAATGAAACATATATAAATAGGGGTAATTTGTTCCAAGTCACAGATAATGGCAATAGTAATATTAGTGGTTTCCTTATAAGGAAACATTCAGCACATATTGACTGAGCAGCTTGTACTGTTGCCGGTTGAAACTTATAAAATCTTCCTCAGAAGACAATTTTAAGGAAAATAGGCTTCTCAATCCAGTAGCTATTATTGCTCTTTTCATTATTGATGGTTATTTCCTTCCTAACCTTTTATTTGAAGTAATGTGGAATATCAGAATCTTGAGTATGTCACTATTCTCTCTTTGACTTTCATGTGTTTTGTTTGTGTTCACAATGCTCAAAGAAGTGGGATATAAACTCTGTATAAAAGCCTATAAAAAACTGGCAAAAACACAAACTAAATTCTAAATATAAACATTATATATATATATATATATATATATATATATATATATATATATATATATATATATATATATAAATAAAACAAAAGCAGTATATGTCTGAAAAACCGAAAGTCAAAATGGCTACAATTGAAAGGGGAAAAGAGAAAAGGTCAAAATTAATAAGGGTAACTGTAAAAAAAAAAAAAAAAAAAAAAATAAAAATCAAATAACCACAATATTTTACACATATGTGCAGATGGGCACATGCTCACATATAAACTAACAAAAAAAAAAAAAAAAAAAACTTCCACCAATGAAAAGTGTATATAAAAAGAAATATCAGGAAGTATAGTCAATTGCTAATACCCCCTGATGAGTGGACAGAGTGATTCCTGGAGTGTCCATCTATGAAACTATGAAACACTGGAGTGAGGTGCTGAAGGTAACATCAATCAGTGAAGTGACCTTTTAATTGTATTAATTATATATATATATATCAGATGAAATAGATTAAATGCAACAAATATTTTAATATATTTTCTGTTCCTACATTATTTCTATGGATACAACTTATTTGTGTTTAATTAAACAGTACTACATTTACTGGCTTGAATGTCTGAGAAATTTTGTCTGCAAGGAATCAAACCTGTATCCCATAAGGAAACCGTCATTTAGCCTGATGTGCTGTTTAACCATTCAGCCATAGAGAATTTTCCAGTTAGCAAAATCCAAAATACCATTTATAAACACACATCTTTAACAGTCATTCTCATTAATTCATTTCTGCTCTGAAACGCAATCCAATGTAAAAAATGACAACAGATTAGATAAACATTATTTACATTATTTGGACTATTGTCCTCATCTATTTGGACTATTGTCCTCATGTCACCATTTCGGCCGTTGTACGCTCTGGCCTTCTTCAGGGGGGTGGAATGTCGAGCTGAACCCTATATTTCGCTCACTGAGGTAGACTGTTCTAGTTCCACGTGCCATGTCTCATGGATGTCAGTTATCTCCTGTTAATTCCCCTCACCAAGTTCTCCACCGCTTTAACCAGGTATTAAACTCACACTCTTTGGGTCCTGTCACTGGATCTAACTAACGCCTTTATCCACTGTGCCATGTGTCCTTGAGGATCCATTAGACATGGCACATGGAACTAGAACAGTCTACCCCAGTGAATGAAATAAAGGTTTCAGTTCGACATTCCAACCCCCTGAAGAAGGCTTGAACGTACAATGGCTGAAATAAATATGGCGACAAAGATGAGGACAATAGTCTGAATAATGTAAATAGTGTACATAATACCTCATCTCAGAAATATAGACAGAAATTAGATGAAATGAATTATATCTGACAAATATTTAATATATATTTTCTGCTTATACATTATTTTTATGGATACAACTTATTTGAGAAAATGTTTATGTTTTAATTAAACAATATTAATTACATTTACCAGCCTGAATATTTGAGAAATTTCGTAGAAAATATGCATTCTCCGAGAGGATGGTAAATGTAATTAATACTGTTTAATTAAAACAGAACATTTACTCAAATTGTATCCATAAAAATAACTTATAAGCAGAAACACACAAACACACACACACACACATATATATATATATATATATATATATATATATATATATATATATATATATATATATGTTAAGTCCAACAGTTATTTTAATATATTTCTTGTTTATACGTTATTTTTTATAGATATCATTCATTTAAGTAAATGCTCATTTTTTTTTTTAATTAATAAGTATTAATTAGATTTACTGGTCTAAATGCTCGAGAAATTTCATAGAAAATATGTGCTTCTATTAAATTTTTTGAACATTTAGGCTGTTAAATGTAATAATGTTTAATTAAAGAAAGAAACAGAGCATTTACTTAAATATATGATGTCTATAAAAATAATGTATAAATGGAAAATTGTATATGTATGTAAGAAAGAAAGTTAAAATACTGATAAGTAGATGCTGTAGGGTTTTCTGAATCATAGATGAGAAGCCCTTTTTACCTTGCAATCCACAGAAGCATTTACAAAATGAAGTTAGCTGATCTTTCATTGGTGTGTGTCCTAGTAATGAAATGTCTTTCTTCCTTGAATATGCTCAATGAGGAATTTAAAAAACCAAAAAAAAAACCCCAAAAATTTGATTTTGTTGTGATTAAATATCTGTTTTGAAATGAAACTACCTTCCTCAGTAATGTTTAAAAAAACACTGTAGTGCTCACTAGAAACCTCACTATGTCTCCCAACAACAAGTAATCCATTTCTTTTTCAGAACACACCTTTCAAAAAGCCAGAAAACCTGGCACTTCCTCTGGGAACATTAGCTCCAAGATTATGAAACAAATCTTTGGTCTTCATACTAATTATCAGTTTGTATCTACTATCACAGGCAATTTAATTTTTTTTTTTGTTTGCTACCAGTTCATGGTTAGAAATTCCTTACAAGAAAAAAAAAGCAAGTAGAGAATCTTTCTCTTTTCCATACAAAAAAAAAAACGGAAAAGAAAAAAATACAATTGTGTAGATTACCAAAAAAAAAGGTGCTAACAAAAAGGAAAAACTCTTGGAATGATTGTTAGTAATAAGTAAGAATTGGTTGGCTACTTGTTTCTGAATATGTTTGTCTGCTAAGGCGGCTACCTAATCCCCATTGCAGACACCTACTCGGGCCTATTTGTGTTTCTTGTGATTTATAGTGCAACTATGCTGAGAAGACTTTAATTACAACCTCTGGGAGAAAGCACATAATCTGGCATGATCAGTAGTTGAACAAGGCCAGGCCACTCAAGCTCTCGTTCACGATGATTTGGGACTTCATGTTGCTACCACAATGACAAACAAATTGTGAACAGTTTTGTCTGCCCAATTTCACTCACAAGTCTTGGGTTATCTTATATGATTTTCAGGTACGCCCTAACAGTGATACACACTAGGAATGTCTCTCTAGGCTGATATTAACAAGAGGCCACCTACTTGACAAAATGACCAGAGTAAGTTTTGTAGTTGGGTCTCATGACTGGAATGCTAACATTCTAACCACGCAGACACACATCCACTCTTTGCAAAATTCAAAAAAAAAAAAAAAAAAAAAAAGCATCTTTTTTTATATGAATTGTACACCTGGATAAGACCAGTGAATTGACCAACTGAAACACAGTGTAGAGATAAAAAAATGCAATTATCTCCCTTTGATTGAGATGAAGTCGTGTGGACCACATGATGGCCATTCAGTGACGTTACTTCGAATCTGCCTCTCTTGACCAGCTGCCATGTGATGCAGTCTATAAGTATATAGTGCTATTTTCCTTTGGAAATATGTCTTCACCAGATATAGAAACTATCCCCAGCTCGTAGTCCTTATGTTGGGAAAAACCTATGACTCGCTGTTTCCTGTTTGAGAATATGCACTTGCTTGTGGCACAGAAGATAAATATTTGCTGGGAATTGTAAATATGGCTTCTCCAGAAACATGGAATAACCCTGTAGATGCTTAAATGCCTGTTAGGAATTATTACAAGTAATACTCTATCTCTCTCTTTTTCATCTCATTTTCACACTGCTTCTTGTAGGATACATATGTTGTAGTTTCTGTGTGAGACAGATGTAAACATGCATATATAATTTTGTGTATGGCAGCAGTATAAAACTCTCTCTGAGAACAAAGCCTGTTTGTCATTTTTTATTTCAGTTATTCTGCTCCATCCATGAAATAAGATGGTATTATATCATGGATATAATAACAAACATAATGAGGCAAATGCAAACATGAGAATATTCATTTCTTTCATAGATCATCCATTATCTGGTGACTTACGTGATGTGATGCGATATTATTAATCCCTACACAATGGTAATAAAAAAGTGAATGAAGTCAGATCAGACTAAAAATGGAGCATTGCTGATGTGTGGATCTATTTCGCATGAACATACATACAAAAATACAAATCACACATAATGCCAAGCATTCATTAGTTAATTAATCACCACTAGGTTATAACAGGCAATTTACAAATTTCAGCAATGTGACAATTTTGTAATCGTTCCATTTTTATGTAGTCAGTTTTGTGCACTTTTGGGAGAAACAGGTCACAGAAGCTTTCTTAAGTCTCCCCAAAGATCGCTTGGTGATTGGTCAATGCCAACCAATCAGATCGTCTGCATGTGAAGAATAATTCTTCCCACGCAGCGATTTGGAGCCTACAGTCGTTTATAAAAGCTTTTTCCTCTCATTAATGAGAAATTCAGCTGCCAAATGAATCCACGACAGTTGAAACCATGCGCCAACTTTCTCACTCACACACACCACTCACATGCTGAACATACCTTGTATACACTCACATAAACTCTTCTTGCACAACAATATCTTTCAAGAACAATCATTACAAGAGACTCTCATGAACATTCTTCCAGTGAACTTTGAAATACTAAAATAACAGTTAAAGAGAGACAACTCTTGTTTATTTCAACCTTTTCTTACTTAAATGCATACTTTCCTTCTCATCATTGTTTGATATTGTACATCTTGTTAAATACATATTTTATGTGTAACAATGTCTTTTGGCTATACTTTTCTGTGTGAGCCCTGTTTTCCAAATTTAAAGTTAAATTAATGTGGTGAAGTCCACCACACTGTCATATCTGGGCTGGAGATGCTAAATCCCCCACTTTACAGATTTGAAATAATCAAATGTGGTCATGTGAGTGATGCATTATTTTTCACACTACAACCCCTTTACCACTGACCAAACTTTGCAAAGCTTTCCATGCCAATAGAAGCTATATTCATTAGTTTCACCAGTTCAGGCCTTCACAGCTAAGACTCACCATGCCATGTATGCAGGGAGGAAGCATCGTCATTCCCTTTTATTTCATTAGTAAGAAATAAGTTCCGTTCAAACAGTCTCTTCCCAAGAACTGATATTTTGTGGAACAGACTCCCAAGAGGATGCTTCCCTGATTGTTGCAATCATAAGTTAACCATTATCTTTTTTACATATCCATACAAAATACACATTTAACATCCTACTCTTATGTTCATACAACAGCCACATTCTGTAAAACTCTACATTTGAATGGCTCTTGGGCCTTGTATTGGGTGAAGAATTAGTAAAAAAAAAAAAAAAATAGAGAGTTTAGATAACTGTCAGAAATAAATAGTGATTGCTCAAAATGATAAACTTACCTTCAGCTTTGAACTGATATGTTGCAACTCGTGGGTAATTTCTATGACATTTGGTTCAGGGCTTTGTTCCTTCTCTTCAAAAGAGGAATAAAAAATAAAAATAAAAAAATGAAAAATCAAACAGAAAAAAGGGGGAGAAAAGAGTTTTCAAATTTCAACTTTCAGATTTCAGGAAACGGGCTAAAAAATAAAAAATTTAAGCTCATAATATTTAGCCGCAAGTGAAGAGATGACATCGAGTGATCTCTTTGGGAAGACGATTGATATTTTAACGCCGATGTAAAAACATACAAAAAATAAGGCATTCCTTCTAGAAATACAGAAGAAACTATAACAGCAGGTTGATTTTTTTTTCTTTTAAAGCATCATTCCTACAAGTATTGATTATTATTAAGGCAGCTATTAACTGTAAGAATGTAGCCCATTTCAGGTTTTGGCAGCAGTGTTGTGCTTTAGTTGTGACTCCTAAAGTGATTATTTGATTGTAGGGAAACTAATTACATATTTCACTTCTATTGATTATGAGTTAACTAACTAATGTAGAACCAAAGTTGAATAATAAGAGATGCTGTTTATAGTGTATTTCCTATTTAAGCCCATATAAATTTCAAATAGTTATATATTCAGCACTGTTTACTGAATGAGATCCAAAAGGGTAATATTGCATCAGAAGTATTTCAAAACGTTTCTGCAGTGTATACACATGCTCGAGGTGGTGTAATGGTTAGCAAACTTGTCTCACAAAAACAATTATGACTGAATAGCTAGTTCGATCCTCACTTGGTGCCCCCTATTTTCAGCCTTGTGCCACATCTAAGCAATGCTTGGAAAATCACTATACACATGAAGTGAAGGCTCATACATGTCACTGGATCTAACTAACACCTTTATCCACTGTGCCATGTGTCTTTGGGGATCCATTAGACTCTAATATTGGAAGGTGATTGGCACTTGGATGGGTTTTGCAGTGAAAAATTGCATTCCTGAATCTCTTATTGATCATTATGTAGTCAATTTGATTCTTCATTTCTATGTTTCTCTATGTCCGTGTACATTTGGGTGTTCCTGAAAGCAGGTGTTTGTAGCTAACTAATAAGTCACTACGCACTCAATGAACCCATCTTTCTCCACATTTATTAAGAGTTCCTAGACTGATTTTGCCAATTATATCGCCATCTCTCTCTTTCCCTACTTTGGTATTCAAGTCTCTCGTGATGATTGTCCTGCAATTTGCAGTGATCCTTGGCATTGTCTAGTGTAGAATAAAACTTTTTGATTTCTTCTGTACTTTTTACTGTTGGTGCATATACAACTATGACGGATATGTTGAAAGGCTTCTCTATCAGTTAAACTACAAGAATTCTTTTAGATAGTTGATAATATCCCAGGATGCATTTATTCCTGTCTTTGTCTAATATTAGTGCTACACTCCTCTTATTTTTCTCTCCACTTGGCTATATGACCCAGTCACTGATGTAGTTTCAATTGTTTGCCTACCTCATTTCGCTTTACACCTAAAATATTAACCTTTCATTTACCTGCTTTATATTTTCTAACTGGCCAGACTGATTTAATGTTCTCACATTCCATATCCCAAGAAGCAAACATCTGTCATCCATTCCTTTTTTCATTGTGTCAGAAATTTAATTTCTGTATCTATCTTTCTATCTCTCTTACTTTCCTTCCTCCTCTCCTTTTCCCCCTGTGTGCAGTGTAAGAACTGCTGCTGCTGTGTCACGTGGCGAAATCGTGTCTAACGATTAGTCGTACATGATTTTCCCGCTTGTTTTCGACTAGATTAGAGGAATCTAGTCAGTAGTAGCAGAAAAAGGGCGCCACAGTGTGGAGACGATAAGTCGTCTTGTCTTGTGACGAAAAGGAAACCTGCTTGAAGATAACCTGTTGTTGCTCTGACAAGGAAAACAGTCATAAAAGACCAGTCAAGAGTCTAAGAGAATTGAAGATAAAGAACAAGTGTGTTCGCCGTGTGGAAAAAGCTTATTCTCTAGACAAGTGAAGTCAAGTCTGTTCCAGTAATCAAGTGGATTAATGTTCAGCAACCAAAGAACAAGTCAGTAAAGACGTATCTAAAAAATCAGTTAAAGAAATTATTGTAAAGGGAATTTACAATAGAATATTCTCAAGGAAGTCTTCTTTCGATAATCGAGTCGAAGAGAGAAAAAAAGTCAAAATAAAGCGATTGAAAAGCTACCTTCCTTCGAGGAGTTATTTTGTCCTATTGGTGGACGAAATTCGGATGTGAAAAAGTATGTGAATAAAGATCTTCTAAGTCGTCTGTAGAAGTTGAATTTGTGTCGCAGAGAAAGTTTGAAAAAACAAGTCTGCATTTATTTTTAACAGGAAGCTTGCTTATCTTCCAAGGAGAGCAACTCAAAAAAATATCTAAAAACCTTTCTGCCCAGCTACTTAAAAAAAAAATACTAAAGCTATTTTTTTTTGAACAGTAAATCTAATTTTTTTCCCCTCTTTCTGCTATCTCTCTACCTCTTTCTCTGAACTGTTATTGGAGTCCTTTTTAAGGGCTCGCCAAAGGGACGTTTTTGGCCGTTATTTTCAAGTTGTACCAGTGAACTTTAACATCAGACTATTTCCCCCCCGTCATTTTATTTTTTTTCTTTTCCCTCAATAAATTTTATAGCTATTTCAAGTGGTTTTTCCTTCTTCTTTATCTCGCTTGTTATGGTTGCATATTGATGGTTTCAGGTCTCTGTTAACTGTGTTATGCGGGATTCCCATCATTGCACGTAATGACAAAGTTTCCCAACCTTTTTTGCGCCAAGTTTGGCTGTTACTAAGATAAATTTCGACACATTGTCTAGTTTTCTTTGCGATGATCTCGATTGCTGATGTTACTAAAGCTTCTCATCAGGTGTCCTGCTTCAAGTTTCCATTTTCATTTTGTTCATTGCATCTGCCTTTAACACTGTCTATATATTTCTTCTACACATTAGGGTCATCCAGGAGTCTGTCACTGCAATTTAGGTGCGCCTTAGCCCTCTTTAATTTCCATAGTTTCAATCTAGGGTGGTCACTCACACAACTTGCACTTTGGTATGTTTTGTAATGTAAAACTACATTTCTGAATGTGAACAGGAATGTTCCTTTAAATGCTGTGTGATTGAGCTAGAATCATCCATATGAAGTGTAATTCTCCTTGATAACATTGTTGTCATAAAGCCAACATACATTTTCTTTTATTTCTTAAAAAAACTCATAAAGTACTTATATATCCCCCACTGACACCAGTAAAATAAATAAAACTAATTATATACTACACTAAATTTAATACAACAACCTTAATCATCTGCAATAACTCTTCTCTGTCAACTAGCGTTTTGCAAAAGACCAACATCATATATCAATTTAAGTGCCGTTTGAAAGATTGTATCTCTGATAAAAAAGAAAATATATATGTCAGCTTTACAGGAATTAATCTTTAGAGAAATATGAATTGATAATACAAGTATACTCCACCACAAAAATAAAAAAAACAAAAACTTCAAATTCTGGAAGCCCTTTATATAAAAAAATTATGGCCAACAATAAATAAACTTAATTAAGAGTATAGCAAACAAAGTTACTTTATAACAATAAGTTTTAAAATATCTAAATTGTAATTGTTAAAAAACTACAATTATAACAGAATGTTTTAAAACACGTAATTACAATTTTTAATAAAGATTTTTACAATATTTTGAGGTGTTATCATGCTCTGCTGATAAAACTGAAGGCTTCGCCCACAAATTCTCCTCAAACTCTACTCTTGACTCATCTGGAGTATCCCTGCCTAACTTTCCACTTAGAACTGATTCTCTGCTGAGTGATATTCATATAACACCTTCCGAACACCATTTACATTATTCAGACTATTGACCTCATCTTTATCGCCATATTTATTACAATGTTTCAGCCATTGTATGCTCTGGCCTTCTTCAGGTGGTCGGAATTTAGAAATGAACCCTTTATTTTGCTCACTGGACATATGGCACAGTGGATAAAGGCACTAGTTAGATTCAGTGAGAGGACCCAAAGAGTGTGGGTTCAATACCTGGTTAAGGCAGTGGAGAACTTAGAGAGGGGAATTAACAGGAGATAACTGACAACTGACATCCATTAAACATGGAATGTGGAATTAGAAGAGTCTACCCCAGTTATTGAAATAAAGGGTTCAGTTCGACATTCCAACCACCTGAAGAAGGCTGGAGTGTACAATGGCTGAAATGCTGTGATAAATATGGTGATAAAGATGAGGACTATAGACCGAATAATGTAAATAGTATACATAATACCTCATCTCAGAAATATAAACAAACACCTTCCATTGTTTCTGCTATCATCTCTAACCTTGATCCCCACAAAGCATGTGAACTTGATGGCATCTTTGTAATAGTCATTAAGAAGTGTGCTTCTAAACTGGTTCCTGTTCTCTCTAAATTGTATAATAAATGCCTTGCTACCTCCCACTTTCCTACCTGCTGGAAGTCATTTTCTCTTGTTCCAGTTTTTAAGAACTCTGGTAAACTGTCCGACCAATCCAACTGTCTGACCAATTAGCTTTCTACCTCCTTTTGAGAAAATCATAGAGGCACTAATCAATGGATCATCATCTCTCATCGCAGGTTTTTTTCTGAGACAAGCAATACAGCTTTCATTACTCTGGGTCAACTGCTCATATACTAATGATAATTGCAGAAAGAGACTATCATGCTCAAGATAAAAAAGTGAAGCCCTGGCTGTAGCATTGAATATCTCAAAGGCCATTGACAGGATCTGGTATTTACATTTTCTCCACAAGCTGAAAAATTATGGTATCTCTGGGCACATTTTCTAGATGATCCAGTCATTCCTATCAAATCATGAAATGAAAGTTGTCCTGAATGGCCGCTTGTCTACATCTTTTCATACTAACGCAGGTGCTCCCCAGGCTCCATCCTTGGTCCTATGCTGTTTTTATTCTTCATTAATGACCTTCCCGATGACATGAGCTCTCAATTTGGCATCTATGTTGACAATACTGCCATTTACTCCTGCCTTGATAGTAAGACTTATCCGTGCGACAAGATTAAAATGGCAGCTGATGTATAAAACAGCATTAAGACTATCATTAACTGGGACAAAAGATGGCTTGTAGTTTTTAACGCCTCCAAAACTAAACTTCTCTCCATTAATCATCTAAAAGATCCTTCTCTATCTTCCATCAGCATGGCTGATGCTATCCTCCAGAAAAGTGGCTTGTTGCAGCTTCTCGGACTAATGTTCTTAGCTGAAAAGTGGAAAGACTGTACTGAATCCATTGCTAGGTCAGCTGCTAAGAAAGTCGTTTCACTGTGTTGGGCAAGACAATTTTTCTCTCCGGAATCTATCTAGCATATCTATAAGTCTGCCATTTGTCCATGCTTAGAATATCGCTGCCATATATGGTCCTGTGCCTCTACTATTTACCTGGAGTTCCTTGATAAGATCCAAAGAAGAAGAATAGTTAACTGGGGAAAAATATAGCTTGTTAATTTTAACGCTTCCAAGATTAAACTTCTCTCCATTAAGTATCTGAGAGACTCTTCTCTGCCTTCCATCAGCATGACTGATGCTATCCTCCAGAAAACTGGCTTTTGGCAGCTTCTTGGGCTAATGTTCTCAGCTGACATGAAGTGGAAAGACTGTACTGAAACCATTGCTAGGTCAGCTGCTAAGAAAGTTGGTTCACTGTGGTGGGCAAGACAATTTTTTTTTTTTTACACAATCTATCTTGCTATAAGTCTACCATTCGTCCATGCTTACAATATTGCTACCATATATACACTCAACTTTTTTGGTTCTCAGTGTTGGTGGTTTGAATTCCATGTCATACCAATTCAACCAGTTTGAAATTTTTAGAACTTTCTTATTTCAAAATGAGCAGTAAAATTTTTTTTTAATTTTTAAAAAAAATTTTTAAATTTAAAATTTTCTTAAAATTTAAAAAAAAAATTTAAAAAATGTTTAAAAAAATTTTAAAATTAGTAAAAATCCCAAAAATATAACATTTAGAAATTGAAATCAAATAAAATACCCGAGAGAAATTCCTAATTTTTAAAGGATGCTTGTCTACAAGAGCGGCTAGCTAATCCCTGTTACATACGCCTTCTCAGGTACATTTGTGTTTATTCAACACCCACAAAGCCCACCTGTGGTTTATACTGCAACTATGCTGAGAAGAACTTAGTTATAGTTTCTTGGACAGAGCACGTTACCTAGCATGATCAACAGTCTGAACAAGGCCAGCACATTCAAACCCTCGGTCACGATGACTTGTGACTTTGCGCTAGCACAACCATCAACAGCCCGACAGGTTCCGTTTATCCAGTTTCATTTCATTTTTCAAAGATGAGATTGCCTCATTCAGACGGATAACAATGAAGTGACCTTCCTGACAAATCGACCATGGTGAGATTCGAAACCATGTCTTATGTTCAGAAAGCGAATGTTCTAACCATTCAGCCACATGCCGATCAAGATTCTTAATATACCTGGACCCAAAAAAGAGAAAAAGGAAGCTTTTTACCATCATAATGATCCACTGAATCGTTGTGTCGAATATAAACCTTGTATCGTTGATGCCGATGTTTTGTTGGCGTATTAATGCTGTCAACTTCATCAGGTGAATAGATAGAATTTTCAAAATTTGAAAACAGACTATCAACTTCAAAAAATCCAGAATGATCCCTTGAGGCAGCATCACTATGAGCTGTGACCACAGAATCTGAGGAAAATAGAAGCATTGTTAAAGAAAGATGTAAATATATTTGTGAAAATTCAGATATAAATAAAAATATATCTGTAAAATGACTATATGAATAAAAAGAAAAGGAAAACCTTTCTTCACCAACACATCAGTAACAATTTTTCTGTTCGTCTTTATTCACATACACACACACACATATATTATATAAAAAAAGATTACTTTAATGTCAATTTTTTGTTGTTGTTTTTGTTCCATACATGAGCATTGCGATTAATTTGGTAACGACAGAAAGAGCAACATGAATACCGTAGCAGTCAGTTCACTGATTTTTATTCAACAACTCCACTGCTCCATGTGACACTCCCTCCCTCGGGGGCCCAAAATCAATAACAAGGGCTGTAACGCATCAGTGATTACTGATGATACAATTTTCCCCGACTTCAAAATTTCTTGGTAATGACCGTTGTTCAAGGGGTTCTGTTTTTAAACGATATTTTAAATTTTTTCAATTTATTCCAGGTTTTTCAATCTGTTTTGCACACATGTGCATTCATGAATTTAACATTTTTTTTTTTTACATGTGCATGTTCAGGAATTTTTGCTTTTGTTTACGTCTTTTTTCAGTTGTAAATTCTTTGAAATTAAATTTTTGTTAAAAAAATAAAGTTATTTATTTTTTTTTTATGGTTTATATTAATTTCAAAGAATTTACAACTGAAAAAAGAAGACATAAATAAATGCAAAAATTCATGAATGTCCACGTGCAAAAAAACAGATTGAAAAAGACGTGGAATAAATTGAAAAATTTGGAAATATCCTTTAAAAAAAAGAACCCCTTGAAGAAAGGTCATTACCAAGAAACTTCAAATTTGGGATAAAATTGATATTTACAAGTAATCTTTTCATCATTAATGCTCGATTTTTAATATTATTTTAATATTGAACACTATATATAAAAACATCTGAAGTTTCTTAAATCTTAAATTGCCTTTTTAATTCGATACAAAAAAACTGGGAAAATATATTAACAACTTTTGACATGAACGAAGAATTATAAAGAAAATTACAGAATAAATATTAACATTTTTTTTTTTTAAGTGATCCATTTTTTTTTCTTTAATCACAAGAAACGTCAGCTTAAGGAAAAAGTACTATCATTCATCAGTTAAGCATACACACAAATACACACACATATTTCTTCTTTGGTTTTTGGATTTGGTGTAACCGAGAAAGGTGAAACATGCAATTAAATCTATTTTCAATGAAATGTTTTCCATTTGTAAAAATTCTTAAAAACTTATTATATCCTATTTTTAGAAATACACATACATATATATCATCCAGGAGATCAACGTGTTTTAGTGGACTCAGCAGTTTTCAATCTGCTTGTCTGAATCATCTTCAAGAAGCGAGAGCAAGATCTAAAAGGTCAGCCAATCTAACAGTGATCTCATCCCACAATCCTCACTCCTGCTCCATATGTGGCCTAGCGGGTCTTAAGTGCCACTTAAGATTATCGCACAAAATTTAATAACTGAATCAATTAAGTTGTCAGATTCTCATACATTGAAACTGACAGGAGAGTCCATTATTATTATTATTATTATATATACAGGATGTACATAAAGTTTGTGTGCACCTTTAAGTTATAAATTTTTTAAAGTGCATACGAACTTTATGGACACTATATATATATATATATATATATATATGTGTGTGTGTGTGTGTGTGTGTTTTAGAAATGACCCAGTATATTTAAAACACATCCTATATATATATATATATAACATCTATTGATATACACATTTTTTATAGTAAGGTACACGCAATAAAAGGCCTAAGAGCCACTCAAGGCAGAGGGTTACTGTGTGGTGTTGTATGAGTGTAAGAAAAGGCAAGAATTTAAGTACATGGAGTTATGCAGGAAAGACAACAATTAATCCTAGACTTGAAGAGAAAGATTGTAATGATTGGGAAAATAATCTGCTGGGAGTCTATTCCACAAAGCAGCTTGGGAAGAATCTGTCATACATCCTCTTTACTAATGGAATATGAAAGAAATAGGGATCATTCACTCTTGTGTATGCAGCATGGTGGGTCCCTGTTCAAAAGTTAGGGCGGATAGAATCAAAGAATGTAGCTTGTAAGAAAACATACTATACAAATAGCAATAAAGCAATGAAAGTCCTGCAATATTTCATTCGTGGAAAAAACTAAAAGGTTGTAGGGTCGAAAATAATTCATCACCCACAAGGCTGCGTAGACATTTTTGATTTCTATCAAAACTACCAATGGGTCAATGAATTCTCCAGGTGTACAATCCATAGCCTAAGAGCGGATCTGTCATTTTGTGGCATGTAAACGAGAGAAAGAGAATCTTTCTCTTTGGAAACGGACAATAAGCATGAAAATAGAACGCCTCTGCCGAAACTTTGTAATAACAACGAAAAGAAAGAAACCTATAATACTAACAATTTTTGAAATGATAACCACTAATCTCAAAATTGCAGAAGTTCTGTTTAAAATAATAATAAAAAACGAAAAAGGCAATGAACGATTTAGAGAAAAAGAGACCAAAATGATAGCCAAGGGGAAGTAACTCAAAAAATATTTCATGAATTATTTCCCTTTATGCCTTTTAAATGACCAAATAAACAAATTCGACATTATACGTTTTATCATCACTCTTCAGAAAGGTACCTATTTATTTATAATCTGATGACCAGGGTTGCCAGATGGGATTTGGGATAGATTTGAACCCCCAGTGTTCTATGTGACATGTTCTCTCAGGAAAATCAGCATTTAAAATAATCCTGCATTATACATGGATTTGATCCCTGCTCACAAATCCTGGCAGAAAATATGCAACTATCTCTACCACCAAGTAAAAGGCAATTTTCTTTTTGATTCAAAAAGTGGAGTTAAAAAATGTTTTATTTCATTGGTATGAAGCCATTACACTGGATAAAACAGTACTTGTGATAAAAAAAAAACAAATAATGGGTAAGTTTTGGAGAAAAAAATAGGATGAAAATATTTTGAGAAGATAGAAGTTAGATATGTTTCCAGGAAAGAGGAGATATGAGCTGGTAAAACTTCCAGAAAAGTGAAGATATGGGCTTGAAATGTTTCCAGAAAAAGAAAACATAGGCCAAAAAGATTGAGAAAGAAGGCATGGACCAGAAACATTTTCAGAGATTAGTAGTTTTGTGCTAGAAATATTTCATGAAATAAGACATGGATTAGAAACATATCCAGAAAATAGAAGACATGGGTTAGAAATATTTCCACAAAAAGAGAAGACTTGGGCTAGAAAAATTTCCTGAAAGTAGAAGTTTTGTGCTAGAAATGTTTCCTAAAATAAGAAGATATGGTTTAAAACTATTTCCTGAAAGTAGAAGTTTTGTGCTAGAAATGTTTCTTGAAATAAGAAGATATGGTTTAAAACTATTTCCAGAAAAGAGAAGACATGGGCTAGAAACATTTCAGGACAAGAAGCTACAGACCAGAAACATTTCAAGAAATTAGTAGTTTTGTGATAGAAGTGTTTCCAGGAACAAGATGACATAGGTTAGAAATATTTCCAGAAATTAGAAAACATGGGTGAGAAACATTTCTCATAAAGGAGACATGGGCCAGAAACATTTCAATAAATTACTAACTTTATGTTAAAAGTATTTCCAGAAAAAAAGATATAAGCAAGAAGCATTTACAGAAAACAGAATAAGACTAAAATGCAAGCAGCATTGGCAACAGGCATTTAAGAATGGCAAGAGAATTATCTGGCTAAAATGAAATAACTAAAACAACTAAGATAGTAATCAACTTCAAACATCAAATATACTTTTGCTGAAAAAGGTTTTTGTGCAGTGGCTTCAAAGGTATCAGGCATTATTAGGGTTTCTATTGAAGTTCAAATAAAAGATATGATTTCAAATTTTTATATCTTATTCCCTGGGAAGCTTGACTACTAGAATATTTGAAACATACAATCCGTATTGTACAATTTTGCAATTACTTAAGATAAAAACCAGGCAGACAGGAGGAAAAATAATCAGACAAAAACTGAGACAGACGGGAGGGACAAAAAAAAAAAAAAAAAAATTAATGAAAAGTCCTTACCTAAGTCACTTTCTTCAGAGGCCATCTTGGTTGGAATTCTTTTCATGAAAGAAATCTATAAAAAAAAAAAAAAAAAAAAAAATAGAAAAAGAAAACTTGAAATATATTTATGATATGACTAGCAGCATGACCCGGCATTGCCCGTGCTTGATTCAAAAATCGTACAACTCATACAGCAATTGCTATCACTAGACTTAAAATATTTTTACCCTTACTTGCCTTTAAAGGAGTGCCCTTTGCCATGCTGATATTGCTACATGCCTTACTTCTTGCCTATCTCACACTGCAAATTTTTTCTAAGCTCTATACTAAACATTAAATCTGTTACGAAAAAAGAACTAAACAAAATGAACACAAAACGATCAGCTTTAAAAAAGGACTCGTATCTGGAAAAACTGAATGAAAAAAGAATGTTAACAACAAATACTTTTTCACACCCAACCCAGTTCTGCAGAATCAGAATCAACGTTGAGTTTAAGCAAGCGAATGAGCCAATTGGAGTAAAGTGCCATGCAGATTTAAATTTTTCCCCACTTGGGACGAATGCAGCTATCGATTTTTTTTTGCATGCTAGCATGCTAGTTAACATTCGTGTCAGTCAGCTGTTGGCTCTCACGCTGGCCAATAGAATCTTCCTGCCTATTCGTGGCAGCCAGCTATAGGCTCTCACTCTGGCCAGTAGAAAATGGCCGCAAACTACATGAAAAGTGCCGTAGAAGCATGAAAAAAATTGATTATTCCCACTATCGATGGGAGTTAGGAAATGCAAAGTTGGTCTTGGCCTTTCCCACTAACTTGTAGCATGTGCATGTAAATTTTGGTGGAAATCCGTTGAAAATTGCGGCCATGCATTCGTTACACACACACACATCCTGCCTTTTATAGATAGAGATAAGGAATAAGTAATTTCAGTTTGAATTTCTGGGATTCAGAGATATCAATATATACAGTATTTATATTTAGACTTTTGTCATTATCATCCTAATGTTTTGGAAGTTGTGACTTTCTCAGATGTATATCAGGGAATTCTGAATTGATATCTTCTCGTTCCATTGTTCACGTATCAGGGATATTGAATATAGGAATAATGACTATGTCTAATTCTTATTTTTAGTACGTCACAAAATTCGTAAACAAACAGTTTAATCCACTGAGCCACTGATCCATAGTGCAATTTGCTATAGCGAACTTAAGATCTTAAACTTAACCTGTTAAGAATTCACTGTAGCTTACCCAGATCAATATACACCCAAACAAGGCTGGAAGACACAATGGCAGAAACATTGTGATAATAACGACAAAGATGAAGACAATAGTCCAAATATAAGTAGTGTAAATAATGCATAAATAATATAACAAAAATAAAAATGTGGTACATTACAGCTGGATATATATCTCCCCAGGTAAGATGAGAACGAATAGAGTACAATTCCAATGTTCATAACATTTAATTTAAAAGAGGGCTCAATACAAAGTAGAGCAATATTCTTTATATTAGGATATTATATTGAAAAACCTGTCAAAATCGCTACACAATTGCAGTCCTGTTTTGATGTGTATACTATTTTGTTTTTACAAAAAAAAAAAAAAAAAATTTCGATTTGGATTTTTTTTCCGTCTCAGATGCTACCTGAATTTTACCAAAAACAAAATAGTTTCCATGCCTGATGATGACTGGTAGAACCATTGAAAGTACTTACGTATTTAAGAAAGACCTAATACAGTTTATCATTGTAAAAACAGGGATCATAACATTCATTGAGTGATTAGTGGATTAATGTATCTTTAAAATTTTGTTAGCAAAGGGATTTCACCATTTTATATCATTAACTTTACTAATTTACTTTTTGTATGAATGATTCATTGTAATATAACCTGAACTGCGTCACATATTTTATATATATATATATATATATATATATATATATATATATATATATATATATATATATATATATATATATATATATATTATATTATATATATATATATATATATATATATATATATATATATATATATATATATATATATATATATATATATATATACACACACAGAGATGCTGGTAGGTATGCATCCTATGTCCCTGATGCATAAAAAAATCTTAACGGATACAGTAACTCTACCACTTGTGTGTCTCATGGACACAATTAAAAGTCTCTCATGAAAAGCAATACATTGCCCATATTCATTCAAATACTTTTTACAGTGAGACCCGGATATAAGAGAAACCCGGATATAAGAGAGATTTTCTCTGGTCCCAAATTAGAGCCTGTGTTAATGTATATAAAATAGACCAAACCCGGATATAAGTGACTTCTTCTCTGGTCCCAATAATTCTCTTATATCTGGGTTATACTGTACTTGTTTTCCTTTCTTTCTTTCATTGGGGGGGGTGCTGTGTGGGTGGTATGAAATAGACATCAATACCACATTAACATAAACTTTCTTAGTGCCTTTGTTTTTAATTTATTTGATGCACTTGAACTCATTGAAGTTTGCCAACCGTCGCTTTAGATACTGTTTTTGATTTAAACTTATTGATTCAATTGAAAACAATAAAAAAAAAAAATAACAACTTTTGTTCTGTCAATTTCAAAACTTTGTTCTATCATAATTCTAAAAAAAAAAAAAGAAAAAAAAGACAGTTCTTAATTGAACCGTGATTAAATGTAAATACCATTTTTGTTTTAAATTTATTAATTTAATTAAATAAATAGTTGTTCTGTCAATTTAAGTGATTTGGCATGATTTAAAATTGTTTTATGGGACAATAGTAAAAAAAAAAAAAAAGAAAAAAACTTATTCTGTAGACTTGCAGTTTAACACAAAACTTTATTAATAAATTTTAGTTGGGACTAATCAAATTTCCCATGGATGCACACAAATTATCACCTATAGGTCCAGGGGACTCACTACATTAAATAACTATCGACATCACTGTATATAAATATACTAACAAACCAAAAAGCAGTCAAAGACTCAAATTCAAATAATTGTGTATAGCACTATATATCTTGCAATAATATTTCAGCTAACTTTGAACGATTTTGATCTGAGTCCCTAAATGGTATTTGGTTGTTAGTGTTACTGCTTTTAGTATAATCTTTAGAAGCATTAAGCACTTTAGATTTTGAGTAGGTAGGTCTAAGTCTTTTTCTTTTTTTTCTTTTGTGAGCTTTTTTTCTTGATTTTTTTTCCATTGACAGGCTTAGCGTTGGTAGGGTTGTTGTAAAATTTACTAATACCACAAGTGTTTTGGTTTTATGAATGATTAAAATGAAAGATGGCCCACGTGTGTTTCTTATAATGTAGATTTAATATGCCGGTTAATGAAATTTGAGGAATAAAAAGACAACAAAATGATAACAATATCGGCAATGAGACTGATGATATTTATTATATACTAGCTTTAAAAGCCACCATATTGGGCTGCATTTAAGCTAGCTCCTGTGTAGGACTCTTGATTGCAAAAAAATCATGTAAAAAAAAAAAAAAAAAAAAAAAATCACCAAAACAATTGCAGTAATGAAAATTTGTGAATCTAAAATTTCAGGATTGTGGGTCCGGACTGGCCCAGAATGTTTTTAATTTTCCTCACAGAGTCGGCCCGATTCCAAAATGGTATGATATGTTGGGCTATGGCCTCTAGGAGTAAAGTTGAAAAAGTGTGACACACTGACACTCGCATTTATTATACAGATTAGCTTTTTGACTGAATGAAAGATTTTAAAATCAAAATTTTTGGACACACTGGTATACTTTTTCAACAAGACGAGCTATAAACAAAGAAGTGGGACTCTCACTTCCAAGGAATGTTGTTGTTGGTTAAAGGGCTCTAACCAACAACAACAACATTCCTGTGTAATAAATATCATCAATTTTATTGCCGATACTGTTATTTTGTTGTCTTTTTATTCCTTAAATTTCATTAACTGACCTATTAAATCTACATATGCACACACACACACACACACACACAAATGTGTGCATGTGTATGTACTAAAAATAGTTTTGAGGTATGCAATATTTATGGGGTAAAATGCTCGCATATGTTTTTATATATATATATATATATAAATTCCCAATATGATATAATCCAGATAGGACTCAATGTCCAGGACAGAGTAAGAATATAGTATAAAAGGCTGAAACACTAATATTCCATGGTTATAATTTATTACATTGGAATCATAATCACAATCCAATTCATCAGACCTACAAATTCAAAAAAAAAAAAAAAAAAAAAAAAATTTGAATTTGTAGGTCTGATGAATTGGATTGTGATTTTAATTCCAATGTAATAAATTATAACCATAGAATATTAGTGTTTCAGCCTTTTATATCATATATATATATGATATAAATATGATATTTTATATCATATATATATATATATATATATATATATATATATATATATATATATATATATATATATATATATATTAAATTGATAATTCAGCACTGTATATATATATATATATATATATATATATATACAGTGCTGAATTATGCGATTTAGTAGGATGCCTTTTACTAAATAACTTAAACAAGATCATAGACTGAGGTAATCATGGTCAATATAGAGACAATGGTTTGATTATAGCTGATAAATATACCCCCAGAAAAGGCTATTTAATCCGGAAAACCTTACACCAAATGTTCACTAAGTTCGGATTTAAGCTAGATATAGAAACTAACCTAAAAGTAACAAACTATTTAGATATAACCTCAGATTTACAGAATGGTACCTTTTCTCCTTTCAGGAAAAATAATCAGCAACTTATTTACATCAACTTAGGTTCTAACCACTTAATGCATGTTTTAAAACAAATCCCCAACGGTATTAGTTTTAGACTATCTACCAATTCTTTGAGTGTTAGTATTTTTAATCAGTATAAAAAGAATATGAAAAAGCTTTGGAAATTTGTGGGCAGAAAACCAGATTGACATATTTCACTCCTAGTAAGTGAAATAAAAGGAAGAATAGAGCTAGAAATATTTTATGGTTTAATCCTC